GGAGGGTTGCAAGTTCAAGCCCAGCCTGGGCAACTTAATGAGATGAGACCTATCACAAATTTTTTTAAAAAGGCTGGGGATGTAGCTCCATGGGAAGGCCCTGGGTTCAATTCCCAGTACTGCAGAAAGAAATTTTTATGCCAGATTGTGGCATTTTGTGTTTATGCCTCATAATCCTGTTCCCTGTTATAATCAGCAAGTATTCTCCTGCTCATTTTACATTTGAGGAAAGTAGGTAGGGCTCAATAAATAGTGTGCTGTAGTTGTTTTCTTACACACAGCTGGAATGTATAACCTGCTTTCTCATTAGAATATCTTCATGATACCTATAACTACTTTCATCATGGGGAACTGGTACACTCCTGTGTGGCACTGTGATCCTTTTTACCTCCGCTCCATGTGCTCCCTCCCATCTCTCCCCATCCCCTAAACATCTCCACGGGCCGCTGTTTTGCAGAATGGTTCTTAATTTGTGATTGTATAATTTTTTGCATGATTCGATTAGCTTAGATTTTAAAATTTCATAATATTGATATTGTTAGAACAATATCACAACCCCTGCAAAGGACAAATGCTGGAGCTCAATATTTACAGATTCAAAATAAATATGGAATGGACAGAAGGAAATTATAATATCACACTGCTGAAATAATTTCACTTTGAACTAACTGGTAGTTTTTGAAGTAGATCTGTATTGTTCTTTAGAGTTTTACAATAATTTTAGGTAAACATTTAAAATTATTTTACATAAAATTAAAAATCTTGTGACTATGCTGCTTCCTCAGGAGTGAGGTGGAGATACATCAGTGGGTTGGAAGGGTGTATTTAGGGGTGAGTAAGCTTCTTAGAGACATTTTGTCAGAAAACAGTCTTCCTCCCAAGTAAGGTTGACTAATCTTCCTGTGTGGAGAAGGGATAGGGTTTCTGATCTGAAAGACGGGACTTAGCACCACAGGTGGCGGCTGGACATTAAGCTAATTTTAGCCAAGAGTGGTTAAAAAGCATTAAAGAAGGATAAATTTGAATCACTAGTAGGAAAATGGATGCACGAGAGACCATAATGTTAGATCAAATAAATCAGGCACACAGCACAAATATCGCATGGTTTCTCTTATATGAGAAACCCAAAGTATAAATAATCTAAAGAGGAGAGACCCTCTGGTAGGTCCACCCCTTCGGCCCAGTGCAGCAGAGGAGGCTCCAAAACAGCAGTGTCCATGCCCACCCCCACCCCCCAACAAGAGAAAGAAGGTCTCTCTGAGGCTTCTAGATGAAAATTGAAGCCCACTGGACAGGTGAAGAAAATCTCTGTGATAAAGGCACACCACACCACCATAGTTGGAGAAAACTGAGGTTGACTTTGGGTGAAATTGAAGGGGCCAAAGAGGCTACTGAAAACATCAATCACTTTCCTGTGGACTAGAGTCAGGCTCATTTTTCTTTCTCAAATCAAGAGTGTCTCCTTCCCTCTACACACCAATGACAGAACTGAAGTTTGTTGAAATGAGATGACACATTCAAACTCATTACACAGATGGAAGAAGACCTCCAGTTTATTTCATCAATGACACACTGGAAAGGACTTGTCAGTAATTAAATGGCTAAAAGTCTGACATGTCAGGTTCTCAAAGAGGCCTGCTTGAGTAGATTTCCTTGCCTGCAAGACTCTCCTTACCCCGTATGTATGGTGGATCTTCAGTTCTTTCTCTGATATATTTTTCTCCAGAGAACCTAGCACCATGTAGAATTACAATTTCAGTTGACTTGCTATCTGCCTTCCTATGAGAAGGTGAACTCCAAGAAAGGAGGGATCTTGTCTGTCTTGATCACTGATTGGTATGCTGTCAATGCCTAACCCCAGATTAGGAAATATGTAAACCATTCTTTAGTATATTTTAAATTATGGCTCATGATCCTGTTAGTGCATCACACTAGTATTTTTTGAAAATAAAATGGAATGAATGAAATTAGAATAGAAAACATAGAGGACCACAAAGCAAAGGTGGCCTGCAAATTTTCCACTTCATGTGTCTGTCCCCATACTGCGTGACGATGTGAGGTACCTTCCTTAAGAGCTGTAGGCAGGAGTTGAAAAGTATTGGTCTGAAACATCACAAGTCTGTCCTATCCTATCTGTGAAATGAAGTCACTCTCTTTGGACAAGGTCTGTATCCTCAAATAGCTTTTATTTTTGAAAAGTACAGAAAATGAGCCAGTAAACAAGAAAAATATCAGGTAGTGGTGTTAGGATGAGGCTGGGCATCGTTATGGTTTCTGTCTGGATATTCTCTCAGAGCCTCCTAAACTCATACTTGCAGCTCTGGGGAGGGGATTAGATCACAGGGTGAGATACTCCTCATGGGTTCCTCCACTGATGAGTTTACAGCTAAATGTGGTATTGGGAGAGGTAGTCCCTGGGGGTGTGGCCCAGAAGCATCTGTCTCCCTCCTCCTCTCTTGATCCGCTCTCTGCTTCCTGTTTGCCTTGGCATGAGAAACTTCTCCTCGGCTATGCTGCCCTGCCTTGGAGTCAGCCAGCTGTGGACTGAGACCTCTACAAACTGTGAGCCAAAATAAATCTCTGCTTTCAAGTTGTCATTGTTGGGCATTGTGTCTCAGTGATGAGACAGTGACCGAGACAGGCATTAACTAGAGATTGTTCTTTTTTATTGGATCGTCAGAAAAGCCCCCCCCCGTATATATATACATATATATATATACGT